GCCCTCTCCGTATGTTTGTGGGTCTCTCTGCTTTTTCTTTTCTGTTTATGCAGTTCCATCTGTCCATCCATATATCATGTTCTCCTTATTTACTGCTAAATCGGGTTTTATTAGTATTTGCCAATGACTTTTAACTGTAATGCCGGTGACCAGGGTTAACGGTGACTCTCGGTCTTTGTTTTCTATATATATGCACACTGTAAGTTTAAAGTCCATGCTTGGCATACTGTAAATAAAAGCAAAAAAAAAAAAAAAAAGAGAAAGCAGGTTCCACTCCTCCTGACAGGATTTTTATTCAGAGATTTTGCTGTTTATCTGTTTTGGTGTGGGGGCATAGGGGGTTAATTTTGGTTATTATACATGTACTTTTTCCTCCTGGATATTTTTAACATCTATTTTTCATTATTAGTGTTTTTCCAGTTTCCTTTACTAGGAAGAAAGGAGACGTATATTCTAACTTTTATGTTGCTGATCTAATGTAACATTATGGAGGCATCACTGGGTTAATAAGAATTCAAACTTTCTAAGAGGGAGTTTGTATCCTTGGCTGCCCCCCACCCTCCCACTTTATGCATGGTTATGCTTGTGTTTCCGTGTGTACTGACGGGGGGGGGGGGGGGGAAGGGAGGGAATAGATATTTTTTACAGTGGTGGCAAATTATGAAATCTATCGAGCCATTTTGTCCAGAAATAGTAACTATTTATTTACCATTTTTCATTCCACAAATATGCTGCTTATTTGTAATTTCAAACATTGAAGCTTTTCTCTGAATTAATTTTTTTCCTTCTTTTTTTTCTTCATTTTCTTTCTGGGGAGGGATTTGTGATGCATTTCATAGCCCATTTAGCATTGTCGAGTTTTTGGAGCCCAGATTTATCATGGGTTCTAAAGACTGCTTAAACTGATTCATTTGCAATGGTCTTTTTATCTGAGCTCTTGTCATTTCTGTTGGAGAGTAAAACTGCTACTCTGCTGGTAACAAAAAAAAAAAAAAAAAAAGAAAGAAGGGATAGTGGAAGTGAGTTACATAAAATGTTCTGGAGAATCGTAAGTAATTATATAAAATGGACGCTGATCGGTGGAGATCTCTCAACAGTAACAATCACCTTTTTTAATAGAAAATTATTTATTTAATAGCAAGAGGCGGACTTCTTAAAAACATGCATTAGGCCTTCCTTTTAGCACAAAGAAGACTATAATGCAATATTCCTAACCCACCTGAGACTGCCTAGGAGATTCTCCAAAACCTTAAAATCCTTTGAAATGTTTCTTAAAAATCCATTATTTCACAGCCAGAAAGAACTTTTGCTGCCAACAGGTTTTTTTGCTGTTGTTTGGGGTTTTTTTTAGCTGTCCTTTAACTTAGCAGTCCCCAGTTTCAACAGAAGTGCCTCCTCGCTGAACAAACTAAGTTAATTGAAATCCAAAGCAGCAGATCTATTCACTGGCACTGCAACTACAGAAACTACTTGCTCCATTTTATTAGCAGTTTTATTTCCAGAACGTAAGTGAAACTTTTCAAGGTTTTATATATCAGTGTGCCAAGAATTGATGGCTCATCTCTTAGTGGGGAATGACATTCATTTTTTACCACTTTTTTTCTCCTTCTTTTTATTCCAGCTTCTAAATTAATATTTTGTTGATAGACTTTAAATGTGTTTATTGCTTTCAGTGACCTGTTAACTGCAGCAAGGTATTTCCTCCCCTCCTAAAGTTTGAACCTAAAGCTTTGAAACTCACATTGGTCGTAGAGGGGATGCTGAAGTTATGCCAAAAATGTGGGGGTATTAAAGGTGGAGTTGCTGATCCCTCTAGATGGTGGTCAGCCTTGAGTGAGGCAGCAGGAGTGTTAGCAGCCGTCCTTCTCATGGGATGGGTGGTGGGTTTTCAGGCACCTGTCATTTTCTTCTGAACCACTGCAAGTGTATGTTCCTCAGCAGCCCAGGTTTTTTTTGTAGGAAAGCACATGGACCTGTCCTGAGGATTCTTGCACGTACATTTAGCAGAAGCCCAGACTCATCTTAATATTTTTGAAAAACTTGAAAACTCACTACAAGAAATCTCTTGATTTTGTAAAAACTCCAGGCAAGAAGAATTCAAGCAGAGAAAGTGAATCAGAGTGATAGAAACATTTTTCATTACCCAGTAAGATCTTTTTTTTTTAATATTAAAACCTTTTTCACTAGGAGGCTGTAATTTTCTTTGAACCCCAAGTATATTGTAGCCAAAAAAAAAAAATAAAAATCATAGCCCTTTCAATAGCACAAAGTCCATCTGCAATCTGGATACAGCAGCAAAGGGTAAAGTATGCCTAAGTAAACTTAAATCCAGCATATGGAATGTTCAAACCTGTTGGTTAGGGGGGTAGGACCGAGTTTGGCGTGTGCGGGGCAGTGCGGGGTGCCCTGGGTTCCCCTGCTCGCAGCCCAGGCAGCTGTGCGGGGCAGAGCCCGTGGTGTTGATTGGGTCACAGTGTGCTTTATTTTAGTGTTGGAGCAGACAGTTATCTAACACACCCACATGAGGAAGTGCTCTGGAGCAGTTATTTCATGCTTTGCCATGCCCTGTAGCTAGAGTAATTTTGGGCTGACTGGCGTGTGTATATGCCTCTTTCACTCCTGTGAGACGAAAAGCAGTGCTGTTGGGGTTCTTGTGTGTATGTTTGTGTGGTGGGTTTTTTTTAGTTGGGTTTTTTTTTTTTTTTTTAAACAGGACCAAAAATGGGATATAAGACAGTTAAATCCAAATACCAAACAAATACCAAGTCAAATTATTTTTAATAGTAGAGGATTTTGCTTTTCTCTTAAAGGAGGAAAAAATATCAATCTTGTTTATTTTGATAAAGAGAGTTGTAGCAATTTCCTGCTTTGAATATATCATTATTATAAATATTACTCACAGTTTTCCTATTTTCGCATTTTCTTCATAGGCCCAGCTTATTCATAAGGGAAAACAGCTGCAGAATATTAAAAAAAATGTAATATTATTTATATAAAACTTTGATGTAAATAGGGAACAGTGTCCCCTGCTAGAGAATTCTGTGGGATGGCTTACAAATCCCATACAAGAGAGATTACAGTCTTAGATAAATTGTTATTTAAATCATTTCAAGAAAACCCTGTTCATTTTTGCAGACCATAGGAGGTTTTAAGCAGAATAATTTGAATAGGAGTTCTGTTTAGAAATTGGTGGCATGCTGTGGCCTTATAGATTTCAGTTGGTTTCACTCCTGTCTGTTTTTATAGGACTTTTTTGCACTGCATTCTCTATGGTGAAGAGTTTCTACTGAAAGAGATTCATAAATGTTAATGGAAATTTAAAGACTAGAATTTAACTTCAAGTTACTTAGATTTTTTTTTAGCAAAACTTTTAGAAAACTGAAATCCTTTATAAATTTTCTTGTTGTTGTTGTTTTGTTTTGTGGGGGTTTTTTTTGTTTGTTTGGTTTGGTTTGGTTTTTGTTTTTTTAATTAAACAATTCATTGGAAATAGTTACTTTTAAAAAATAACTTGCTCCTTCTGTAGGGTCTGACATTCACAATATGCTGCAGAGGGAAAATGAAGGCAAATCTAAGTGAAACAGACTTCACTCTCCTTGTTAGTTTGGCCCAAGAAAATTCAGAAAGTAGACGAACAGTATCAACTGTGAAAAATAACTTGGATTTTAATAATCTATTTATGCAAATAATCCAGGATTCTCTTGGTGAAGAGAATTGTTTGACCATACACCAAATTTTGAGATACTTTTGTAATACCTGTACAGCTTTAACTTGGGGATATTTTCACAGATATTTCAGTGAGGAGTGAAAAAACATAAAGGCTTTTGTCCAGGTGGTTTTTGCTTTGATAGTGTTGCCTATATTCTTGGTTATAATTTATCATAAAAGTTAATATTTAGTTCGAACCGCACTGATCCAATTTTCCTGCAATAGGAAACTGGCACTTCACAATGATTGGTGCTTATGTCTTTTATGTTTTTTTACATTTTTTGTACTTAATCCTTCAGTGCCAGTAAGTACTATGACGGCATTTTGACCGCCCAGCGCTGGCAAGAGTTTTGTTTGCAGACGAGTCTTGTAAAATGGGCACCAGAAGCACAGGGACATGTGCCACCTCCGTCTCCCATAGCTGCTGGAGCAACCAGGGCTTCCGATGCCACGGGGAAGGTTGCCACACATCCCAGAAGTTTGCAAGAAGGCAGAAGTTCAGCTTTTACCATGTGCAGTGAAAGCTCTGTGTCTTGAAGTAGTTAAAATATAGGAGTGGGAAATGAAGCTAATGGGGCAAAGCTGTCTTTAAAGAAAAAAAAAAATCCTGTTTCTCTGACAGCTGGGTTTGGGCCTGGGTGAAGCGCATGTGGAGAGTCCCAGCCTGTTTGCGATGGGGCAGATGTTCGCCTCGCAGAAAAGCGAGCTGCTGACTGCGTTGGCACTAGGTGGCACTATGGGAAGAAAGGCCATGGACTATGCCAGAACAAAGGCTGAAATCCTTTCATGCCAAGAATGGTCTCATCCCATCAGAGAGAACTTGCCCTGCCAGCTCTGTGGAGGGCAGATTTGCAGTCTGTGCTGTACTTGTTGTTATCAGGTACCATACCTCAACATCTTTTATGGCAGACAGGTATTCTAACAGAAACCAGTCCTACCTATTTCAAACACTGTCAGCGTCTTTAGGACTTGGTTCTTCAATACCTCATGTCATAATCCTTTCCTTGTGCTTTTCTGAAGTGGGTGGACACAGATCACTAGGTAACTTTTTGCACAAGT